GATCGATGCAGCCACAACCCCGACGAAACCCGGCTTGCTCCTCACGAATCTGGCTTTCACAAACGCCAGTCAATCTGTGCTGGATTATAGAGATAAGTAATCTGGAGACCATGTAAAGCAAAAGGATTCCTCTATGGTTGCCGCAATCCGAACGCGAGCTTCTTTTGAAGATGGAAACAATAACGGAGCGGTCCCAGTCCGTTGGGAAGTTTCCTGCTCCCACAGTTTCACTACTAAATCATTTGAATCATCAACAAGAGTAGGGCACCCGAATTAAGAGCGTGCTAGATGAAAAGCATCTGTTCCCGCTGCCTTATTCAACATCGACAGTCCGATCTCACGTCTGACTTCTGAGCGAGAGGGCGCATCGAAAGGAACAGCGAAGGGAGCAGAACGATCACTGGTCGATGAGGAATCAAACAATTCCGGCAGACTGGATTGCTTTTTAAAATAATTTTGTTCGTCGCAGTCAGCTGACAATTCGGATAAGTCAACTACCTATCCGGAAAAGCATCAGACGGCCGTTTCGCCCTATTGGGGCTCGTCAGTGGTGCGCATCCTTCGGTCCTCTAGTGAGGATCGAACCCATGACTGCTAGTGGCTTGTGCCAACTAGCCCGCTGCTTATGCAACTGAGCCACGGAGGACGGTAGCCGACCACCACGAATTGTTAGTTAACTGCGATATAGCCCGACCCATCCCCAACTCTCACCCAGGCACCTGCCATGCAGATGACAGCGGTTGGCCTTCCGGCGTCAGGACTTCCCGTTTACGGCAGCTATGAATCGACAGCTTTTTAAAATGCTCAATCCAACGTTCCAAAGCTTTTGACAAATTGTGGATAGGCTATCCACTCTCATCAGAAATATTTTCATTAACACCAGGTCTCCTGCTGCCCGTTTCCCGTATCAGACGGAATAACGTTCCATGGTTACCAAGGGTAGCGGCCACTTCCATCTCTGACGCACGAATAAACCACCAGAATTCACGGTCTCTCTTTAGATTATCACGGAGTTTCGTCCGGAGTTCTTTGAAAGTTTTATTGTGTTCGCTTCCAGCCGGGAATGCCGGCGAGCATTGATAAGTTCCAGAGACCGTGAGGAGACCCAATCTCCATGTTGGCTAGTGGACTTACCACCTGAGAATTTGCCTCTTGCTAGTAAAGTCTAGTGAACACGCGAGCAGTGTTCTTAAATTGTCTAAAGCTAGAGCTTACTTAACACGCATGTCAGCGCATTGCGATACGTATACAGAACAGCTGGCTTAGCCAGTTGACTAGTGTCAATGTGCTCACAGCGTCCTCGTGGGCGTTCACCAAAACGCATTCGCAGGTCAGCACATACAAGTGCATGGACCGTCTGCACACATGTGCGCCAAATAGAGCGATGGTTCTGGACGCAGCCACTCTATCGGTAACTGAATGCAATGTGATCGATCTGCTTCCAAGTCTGATTGGAGGCTGGTGAGCGCCAAGTCACCCTCCGGCGGGTGCTGTGTCGAAAGTTAGTGCTTGCAAGAAAGAAGCAAGCATCTTCACACAAATGAAGTAACCGCTCACCGTTATCATTACGGGAGCCTACACCGTGCTGACCATCCAGATGCATTTCATCAGTGGAAAACATTCCAACTTGGACGTTCAGATCTCCATCCAGCGAAACAGTGTCCGTGCTTCTTCTGTGGCAAAGGAGCTCGTTCAATTGGCGATAGAAGTCGTTTTTTACCGCGTCATCGCTACAGTTTGTGGGCTTGTATGTACCGATGACACGTATTAGTCTCGCGCGACTTTGAAGCTTTAAACTAGCCAGCCAGTCGGACCGCACACATCCGGCTACTGATTGGAATCCAATCAATCAGAGCAGCTTCACTCCGGGGATTCAGAGCAATGCCAACACCGGCTTGCAGTGCTCGAAGCTGCATCATCACCGGATAGGCGCAGTGAGAAAGTACTCCTGGTGTCACCTAAAGGGGGATCTCAGAGTGATCACATAGCTCGAGTCTTGCAGGCAGGTCTCCGATAAGCAGCAGATATCGGTCGAGAGGGTATCTAAAGTTCGGACAAGTGCTGCCTATTGACCGAGCTGTAGCAGTGTGCGTACCTTTGGGCATACCAAGCTGAAGGAGGATTAAATGCTCCAAATGGAAGCCGATGATCTGAAGTGGACCGCTTGGTTAGACGTAGGGTTGTCGACAAGACAGAAGTGACGCACTGCGTTTGTACGTGAGTTGAAATTAGAAGATAAACGCCTAGCAAAGCATGTTGGGGGGTGGGTCATGCATCGGGGGTTGAAAATTGGGGGGAAAACGTGAGGTTGGAACGGGACCATAAGGGTGAGAAAGTGCAAGTGGAGGTAAGAAGACAGGAAGTCTTTAGCAGTAGCTTCCAAACCCCTATCCACTCTGTTTGTTGTAGCAGATAGGCCGTGGCTTATTATCCTGTGCGGTGGCCACAGCATCAGAAGTTGTTTAAAGAAAAGTTCATGGCATTGCGTGGGCAGGATACCGTCAGGTTGCTATTTCTAGACAGGGGAACGATTGCGGTTCTCAAGCAAAGTCTTAGGTTTAAAAGTCTGACCGCAAGGCAGCTGGTTTGGCGGTGAGCTATGAGGAGCCCGTTTAAGAAATAAGGAGCCACACTCATTCCGACCCCGAACCTGGAGGACCTGGAGGCTGAGTTTGTCTGTCCTCTAACCATTGATTGATCTGGTATGAGTGGCTCTAAAGGTGCACAAAAGCACAGCGTAATAGATCTCTAAGGCACACAAACCATCTCCCCATGGTAAGGTCCAACCTCATTCCGATGGAACGGGTGCAACGGCATCCAAAGAAGAGCGCACTGCTTTGTGGGCAAATTCCTTTTGAAAATGCTAGAGATAACTAGTTTTTCCAATACTTACTAGAGCATTTGGTTGACACTTCTGTTATCATGCTTAATGCACTGGTGTGATTTTGGCCGCTTTCTAAATATTCGGCATGATACCAGCCGTTAAGAACCGAGAAATGATCTCCTTCAGTGGTGTCTCATTGTAAAACTAATGCTAGAGTACATCTTGCCCGCCTCTTTGCTGCTCAAGCGTGGCGAGATGCATTGACTGAAGCTCGTTCAGCAAGTAGCAACCGAACTCTTCCTCAAACTACGGGGTATTTCGTACGAAGATGGATGTAAAAGACTAAGGTTGTACACCCAGCCGTTTTGACGGTTTAGAGTGGATATCATAATGACGCACCAAATATCACGTCTGGGTCACCTCCCCATTTAGAAGCCAATGCTGCATATGCACGCACTGAGCACCATTTGCGCGTACCGATACAATCTTTTGGTAACGGACTAGAAGCGGGTAGCTCATCCTCTATGCTTTGAACATCGGGTAGTGAAATACTGAAAGAGTGTGCCTGAAATAATCTGGGTGTAATCGTTGTAAGATTTCAAGAACTACCTAGACGCTCATATTGTGGAGTAGATGTTTAGCAAACTCATCGCATCTGATTATTATTTTGTCCCAATGCAAAATTTCCTTGAACTTGTGCAGTAATGAAAGACAGTATTTCGCGCACGTACCGGATAATATATAGATGGAACAACACATATGCTTATCTTCTCGCTGTCTACTTTCAGCATTCAGTATGCAATATTTGTAGACCCGGATAGTCAGACCTTGCAGTGAATGCTGACTAGTTAATGTAGATAGAGCCACTCCCAGTAACACAAACGCTACTTAACTTTGGAAGTGATTTCATGTATGAAATGGTAAAATCTATTTGATCAATGCAGGTTGAATCGCCAACTATCTGCGTAATTTTCTGTTGGCATTTTTCACACTTAAGTGACTACAACGTGTCCTTTTCTAACAATTTGCTTAAAGAGAGTCGGTCTGAAATGGTTGACGCACGGATGATAATAATATTGTAGAATCTCGTTGGGATCAACGATTTTTGTGCTACTAAATGCAGCATAATGCACTGTTCTTTTGAACACTTTAGTCTAACACAACTAATGCCACAAAAAGCAGTTGGAAACAGAGAAAAAATCAAGTGTCTTCTGCCATCCATTGAAGCATTTAAAATGGCATTTTCACGACTGCACAATCATTGAAAGGCTTATCTAAATCCTTAGTTACTGAAGGTCAATGGACTCTCGTAAATTCAGTAGTGCTTCATGGTTTCACTATGAGAACATCAATTACGTAACCATTGCGAGGATGACATTTCGAAGGCAAATCGAACCAGCAGGACTATTCAAGGAATTGTTGCAAACAATCCGTACAATCGGCTGTTGCATTTTACGATGCAATCATGCGTTGCGGCTCAATTCAAAGCGAATTTTGGTCATTGTGGTGAATTCACACTCAGTTTATCAACATAGCCTCATCATTAAGCATTTCTGTTGCTGACTAGCAGCTGCGATGATCACGTTAACCATCGCAGCTGATATCGAACCTCTATCCTCATGCAAACGTGCGTGCTACTTAGCTTATTCTGCCCTTGGCCTAGTCAATGTGCTACTGTGGATTTATTCCGGATCCTCGAGCATATCGCAGCAACTGCACTTCAGCGGAATTTATTCAAGTGAGACAGGTACTAGTGATGTAGCGGGCATCCCATAACATCCTTAGGTGGAAGAAATAGGAGTTCATGCATAAAACAGTAGCGAATGAGCAATGGACAAGCTTGCAGATGAGATAGATTTCTTATTTGAATCATTCTGTAGAATACGAGGGGAAAAAGAACAAAAAGAAGCGGAGGACAAAGTGGCAGTAGCAGTGGTGTTTTATGCTTGCACTTAGGGCGAGGACAACTAACATTTTTCCAAGTTTGGAGGATACAATAACGATCCAGACTACAAGTAGCCACAACGGTGATGCGCTTTCCTTTCCATTTATTGATTTCCAGTTATGTGATAGTGGGAAGAACGAAAGCTTTTCAAACTGCTTGTAGACACAGTCAATTATTTGATAACAAATTATATGCGCGCTGCGTTCTCTTGGTCTCCGATCTGTGAATTATATGTTGTGTTCAAAACGAGGTCTATCATGTTTGTGTTCAAGTTTTCACAGCCTATTGCTAAAGGAGACAAGTAACCGTACCTCAAACGAGCAGCAAATAGCGTATTGGCTAGAAAGTACCAGACCAACTGCGATTGTTCAAATAAAGGTCGTCTCAACGTTTTAATGAATTTATGAAGTTTTGTCGAACTTAGGAGAACTCTGGAGTGCTGCACGAGTCCTATTCGGGTGTTCCTAAGGATCACAAACGAAAATTATTGAATGCATCTCATTTAATTGCAATTACATTTCAGAAAATACACAGTACTTTTGCTACTTTAATTTTTGTAACTGCAGTCCGCATCTACGTTGCCCATGGCAGAGTAACGTAGTAAAAATATGTAAGAGAGACGTTTACAAGGTGATGTCTTCATTCATAGTATTTTGTCGTAATAAAAACGTTTATGTTGGTTGTCGCAATTTATAGCTAAATGTCAACGTACTTTCCACTATTACCAAAGATGAAAATTACTGATTAAATTGCGCTTGCACTCTACAAACTTAAGCTGTAAAATGTACAGATTACTGGTTAATGTACCGTTACATTTTGCTATTCACACGAGGTTCACATTCCTCCATTTCGTCTTGTCTATCGGGGCTATGAGCCTTACATCATGTGCATTTGCCTCGAATGCTGAACTCGATTTAATGTGATTGATGTAAATAGATTCGATTTCTTGTAATGTTTGGAAGCCATCCGGAAAATAATTTCAGAAGGCTTGGAGGATGACCGGTTGACATCTTTGTTCAGTTAACGACTTTTGCATTCCATGCGAAATCTTCCTCAGGCAAAGTGAATTAGGTTAAAATTGGGTGCGATTCCATAACGATCGAAAAAAATTAAGTAAAGATTCATAGCTAAAAATTTACAGCGGCCATATATCATTAGGTTCGTGTGTACTCCATTTGGAGGAAACCGATCACTGATCTCTCTAGGATAGGACGAGTCTGGTTGGGAAATTATTGTTTCGGTTGTTTCAAATGAGGAATTTTAACCAGCCGTCCACCAAGATTCCCGAAGTGTAAACGGTTTCAAATATCCGAATGTGGTTCGAAGAAATATCGAATTTGTTTTGAGTAGTTGTTTTGAATAGTTTTGGATAGTGTATACATGAAGCGAAATGACACAACCCGTTATTAGGCGCCAGAAACCAACCAAAACCTCTCATTTTTAATGACCGCACAAAGCCAAGGGTTGTTAACTAACAGTAAACTGGTTTGGACATGTTTTCTTGGGGATAACAGTGGAACAATGGTGGACAACAAGTTGCTTGAACTGGCTGTCACCCTGCTTAGGCTTGAAAGCACTCAAAATTAAACTCACATTTATTACTTAGATTTTGAAATAAGCTGAAATGCTTCTGAAACAGCTATCCGCTCGAGACTTTCAGGTGTTTGCCACCGAATACTGGTTTACATTGCATCACCTGTCATGCAGTCGTACCATTGCTTACTGGTTTAAAATAGTGCATCAGATAAGCTGAGAACCAACAAGAATCCTATCCGTGAGATGCAGCATTCTTTGAAGCCTACTTTTCAGCACAACTTTGGAACAATTAAAGTACCGGAGAAATTAGCACAAAGGCGTGGTTCAACCAAGTGAACCTCTTTCCACACCACGCCTGTTGCCTGAAGATAGTTTAACAAAAACTGGGTCTGAGTACTTTAGCCAATAAATTAGAGTGAAAATCGTGGATCGAGTAGTATGCTTTAAAATATAAAGAACTTACTTACAATTCAGAAACTCAAAGAGTATCCAATGCAACTACGCGGTTAGGTAATGGAGATAACAAATCATTGTACAAGCATTAAGCTTTCACATATTTCAATATTTTCAAGGTTTTTCTGCTACATTTTCTCATTCTGTAGAATGCATATGAGAGTGAGCTGGATGCTTCACTGCACGTTGCTATTCTTACATTGGTTCATCGCGATGCATCAACGGAGCTAGACAAACTATTGTCCAAGCTTCGTAACCAAACTTCCAGGCATAGTAAAAACCTCGAAGTTAAGGAATCAACGCTGTTCACAAGGTATGCTCAAAGAACTCTGTTGCATGTAAGTTTACAGTACACGATTTATCACACTTTAACGCTTTCTTACTAGGCATTTAGATAAACGGGTTACCTAGCTGCGATAGGCAAAAATACAGGCTGAAATGACAACCTATTCCAACCTGACCAGTAGCTAGCCTACGTTACGAATATTGCATGTACATCGAAATCAACACACCAGTACATTTTGATTGATGTATGTTAACATAAGAAGACACCTGAGGCTGAATAACAGTAAGACTCATAGTGGCGATTCAACCCTCATAATCGTGTTTCCTAAAGGTCTCAGATTTAGAGCCCCTTCAACAAAACTCATTCTGTAGCCTTTTTCGTGCTGAACTTCTTTCGTCATCAAAGTAGCACTAGCCAAATGCGATACTAAAACACCTTTCCGCCATCGAAATCGAAAATTCCGCAAAAATCCTGCCGCACCGGCATAAAATTCCGTGCCTTCTCTGCGAAGACTAAGATAAACGAGTATATTTAGGCACAACCATCTAGTACATACATGTCAATTATGATTCAAAACAGAGGAGTTAAAATAACTCTCAACATGGTGATCCGTACTAACGTCTGAAAGTTTGTGCCGCTTGTCAGACAAAACATTTGGTAGGCAATAAAGCTCAGTTAAGCGTCTCTCGAATTCACAGGAACGCAAGACACCGGCCAGCAATGTTATGGAGTTCTTTCATGCATCCTGTACTAGAAGGCCAGCTTGTCGATGCATTTTGCTTCATGCGATCCTTCCACCCTTTTTCGATAAATTGGGCAATCCGATACCAAATCTAGAAAGCCAAGTGTACTTGGAACATAGGCATAGCTTTATGATTCACTGGGCTCATTAATGAGTCGATACGGAGAGAGCAATCTAGTGGTGTTTAGCAAGTGCCAGTTAGCCTCTGATATCACCAACCCATGGGCTTTCTTAGCAATTCAAGAAAAGCGGACTCACCTATCAGTTTGAATATTGCTAGACGTATCGGATATCATTCCCTCTGCCTGCAAGTGCTGCAGCGAGTTAGCTGTAGCGGCAGTTTTCAGTGACATGGATAGATTGGAGAGGTTGTTGTTAGTCTTATGGGTAGCGGCGACTGTGATTCTACTGTTTTCAAGTGACCGATGATGTTCTTGCCAACGGCTTCAATGTAACTCATTTGCCACTCTAGAACTTTTTATATTGCTTGTCGGTTAGAAAGTCCAAAGGTCACAAACACCAACTGCATCTTCAAAATCCCCGTTGCAAAGCATGCAGCATGGCTAGGTAGATGAAATTCTTGCTTTGAGGAATTTCACATTCTTTCTTCGAGTCTGCAACAATTTTCACTTTCTGCGTTATTTATAAATTCATCCATTTTTCTGCGTTTGCGCGGAATCACAGAAACCTAATGCCTTTACACATCATTTGACACGAAAAATTTGCCATCCAATGGAACCACTGCCATAACACCCATAGTTGAAGACAGCGTTTATTTGAATCATTGTGGGTTCAGTTGAGACCCCGATTGTTGTGTCAAGCAATCACAATATTTCACCAAAATCAAGTTTGAAATAAATCATCGTCAGATTGGTTTACATAATTGGATCTAAAACAGACAAGCATTTGGAGTTGTTCATTCGCAAGATTGTGACTTTGATCCAGGAAGTAGTGAATATCAGTTGATGCTGATGTCTTCAATCTAACGAGTCATGAACAACGCAAAGTGCACTTTAACTTGAATGGAGGTTCGCAGTGAAAGAAACTGTCACAATCCACTTGCAGCAGTTGATAATTTCGAAAAGAACTTCCACTCAGAGCTCAAGCGTTGTGATACGCAATACCCGCGGCTTAGTGGCATAAGGACAAAGTTGCAAAATGCATTCAAATGAATCGAGAGGTGCTGCGTCCTCTACGACAAATTTAATGACAGCAAGCATTTTATGCTGGTTTTTACCAGTATTGATAAAGCTGTATTGCAGCGCAGCTAGGGATTTTCACCCATACCGGTGAAATCATTTCATGTGCAGTTAGTTAGGAGCATGTTCACTAGATTCAGGCATCGCCTATTGCACTGTAATGATCATTGACATTGACTAATAAAAGAACACAACGTTTTATGCACTATGCGTGGTGGCAGTATGTGCCTGCTGTGGACATTCTTTATTAGGCGCTCTGACCATCGACACAAAATGAATTCAGCCATATCCAAGGCACAAGCAGCTTTGTCTTGGTTTGTCCTCTCATCAGTTTAGCATGATCGAAGTAGGATGAACATCCAACTTGCACATTCGTTTTATTCATCCTTTTCATATAAATCTGCTTTTAATCTTCAGATAGCGTGTCAGCTTTAAGAAGAACGGTTTCTTAGCGCAGGTACAATTTCTTTTTAAACTGTAGTAGGTTCAAGAAAGGGCTTTATCGACCTTTCTGATCTGAGCTGTTGCTGTCAAGAGAACGTGCACTTTTGTGCCTACAATTTGAAGAATAATGTCATACAAGATTAAGTCAAGTACAAAGCAAGTATAGCTGTCCTAACTAACCCGGATCGTGTAGACATGAGAAGGTGTTCTCCTCAGCCAAAATGTATGTTTCGCAGCATAACTGCAATGTAACAGTTAGGTTCAGTACTCGCTGATTGCGAACATTCAATAAACATCAATGTGTGGGCTGACATTGGCAGTACTGAAAGAATATGATGGGCTACTTCCTGCAATGAGTAGAACAAAGACACAGAACTTTACACTTCCTGGCCATGAACACTACATTGGCCAAAAACTACAACCTATTACTGCGCATCGCAGAGCCAATACCATGCAGCTTCTTTTAAAAACTGGGGACATGGTGCGCCAATATTATTCGCTAAGTTTGATTTGGTAGGTGAAGTCAAGCCCACATGTATGAAGGTCACAAATGAAGTCAATAAAAATGGAACCGAATATATTATGCAGCTATTATTGTAGTTGAATTTTGAATAAACGAGGGAAAACCTGTCGTGCATCGCCCATATATTCCATTACATTATAAAATGATTATAACAAGTTAACTCGCATTGTCTTACAAAAAACCATTCATGAGAGGAAGTTAATTTATCTACTAACGAAACACCCAGCTTCTGTTAAGTCGACACCAGATTGAAAAACTTGTGTGCTACGCAATTCCCAAGCTTGTGAAGTTTAATCTAAATCGGAATTATGAGCCCTCACAGAAAAGATGAAAGCCAAATTAATGTAATTACATTTGCCTGCCCAAATCTCAATACTTCTATGTGATAATCCACAAGACACATTACTACTGAATTCAATCAGAGTATGGTGCACTTTCTCGCATCTTAAATTATCCCCCAAGCAAAATTAACTTGTTGCCGTTATTTCCAGTAAATGGCAAAATCCGCCTTTTCCCTTCCAAAATTAAGCCGAAAGTCGAGTTACATGTCAGGTTTTCCATTGTCTCAAGATAAGTAAAATGGAAGGCTGATGTTGAATGAAATGCGCCTAAACTCCGCTCATTGCGTTGCAGCTTGTACAGAAAGAAAAAGATTGCATTAAGAGTCAGACAAATATCTAGGTATTATGAACCCGAGAGTGCACTTATCAAGACTGCCAGTACTAGCCGATGCTTGGACATTGCTCCATAAAACACCAAAATACCAAACTTTCTCAAACAAATAGGCTTCATCCAAGTCCGATAAATAAACTGACATATGCCCTTTATTCCATCTTCCGTTGTGGCTGTGTCATTTGACTTCATGGTATGCGAATTCATTCGTTCGACTTGGCTTGCTATTTGCGACGGGGCACTTTACCATATATGATGATTAGAAACAATCCTTCCACTGTAATCTTCAGTTTCACTGTGCTTGTCATTCAGACAAATAGTCATTGGTCATCTTGACAATTTTATGTCCCCTAAGCTTTGTTATACCATTGTTTTAAAGAATAGATCGCTTCATGTAACGGAGCGAAAGAATGCGTCAAACTTCTCCTGAATGAGCCCTACTGTTGGAGACCTGATCACTTAGATGGTCGAAATATGACCCCAATGTTTCTGGCTGAGATGCGTGATGATATTGCAGTACTACTGGAACTTGCCAAGCATTCCAACGAGGAACGTGTCATTGACACCCTTCCTGTCCGTCCACCATTTGGTGGACTCGTATCTACTCTCCTACTTTGGCCGCAGGACTTGAGATCATGGAAAATGACGCTTGAAGCTGTGAGTAAAACTCTCTTAATTGCTCCTCCTTCCCGTTTTGAAAGTAAGACGTGGGGAACTATCACGTTTAGACTGAACGCACTTGGTCGCCAAACTTACAGTTATTTCGAGCCGTGTTCATTCAGCTTGGCAGAACTAGCAGTGATATTTTCTTCGGATGACGTTTCTACGAGCTGCTTCTCAGAGCTAGTTGTTATTTCAAAATATTTCATGTTTTCCCTCTCCTAGCTGAGAAATAAAACCATTGCTAGATCAAAATGAAAAAATGCACATGTGTTTTACCTCATATTAGATTTATTGTGTGCTTCACTAACAAATCAATAACTCGGAATCGCCTTCGAATCCTTGGCAAAATTGAAGGCCAAATGTTTTGATATGCTATTAAATTTGCTCTTCGCAATCGCATACCCAATATATTTGGGATGTACACTCTAACCACCGTCCGTCGTAAAGCAACCTGGAGTGGACAATACATGCATTTTGCCAGCTTCATCTAAGATGCGTACAAACGCGTCCCCGTCGAACACCGTAGTACAGAACTAGGCATATTTGCAGTCGAGAGATGCTGCAGAGTGAAGTGTTCCTAACTGAGACTCTTTTTTCGATGGGTAATCGGAAAATTTAACCAGTTCCACAGTAAATGTACCGAAGGGAGGCTATCACTGCAGGCGGTTAAGCAAAATGTGGTTCTACCGTTCGAAAGGGCAATGTTTCAAATGAAATTGATCACAAGCTTAGATCCGCTATAATACGCACCCTGACTACCGCACATCGACGAATAATTTACACTACACACCACACGTAGACCTGCGCTCAACTACTGTTCGTACAGTTCGTCAGTCCGTTTGAACGCTCATGTTAGTTGTAATTTTACTTGTAGCATCGGTGATATCTACCTAGGCAAGACCGACCTCCGACAGTCTCAAAATGTGGTTGAAAACCCATATAAGTGGTTGTGGAAGTCCAACATGAGAGGATGGTTCAGGTAAAGAACCGGGACCCCCCTCGTATAGCACAAAGCATCTTGTGACAATTGGTCATCAGGTGAATCCATCGAAGGCGTTCGAGCCACTACTGATCAATCACAACTCGAGGATGCCGGCAAGCGCACTACTAATTGCGGTAAATCAACTGGTATTTTGCGTCCAAAAGCAACTAAGGCAGTCTAGCAGATTGTCGTAGTCATGATTATGCTACGTTAATTTTGTTGTGCGTTTTCGTTCCCTATGTACGTACGTTACCTTATTTTCTATAGGTATTGCGTATACGACTGTGGAGAGCTATCGCAAATTTGTCATCTGTCAGCGCTAACCTAGTTAGTAAAGGAAACACTGTGTTCCACGTTTCTTTAAATGTAAGTAATAAAAGCCACTCGTTTTAAAAAATATTCTTCGTAGCAATTAGCGACTGCTGACTTAACAGTTCCAAAGATAGTAATCCTAGTAAAACTTAGAGCTGGCTTGTTGCCTCAAACCACTACGGAATTGTTATATGCGCATCCGCAGCCTGATCAATAAATATTTCCATTAAATCCCATGGCTTACTTATTAATATACAGTAGCGCAATTACAGACAAATGGTGTTTACTACTACCAAACAGCAAATTTGATGTGATAAGTAATGGTCCCATAGTTTGAAATTAGGCGCTGCCAGCCCGAAAATACTTCCTCACATTTTGATCAAGTTTCCAGGAATCAACCGATGAGTGTACGTAATAGACCGATTTATAAACGAAAACGTTAGCACAATAGTACCGCACGATTTATAGCCGAACAAATGTCTTTGCATATTATCAAGTGCGTATTGCAGATTGAGTGTAAACATATGTACATCATGGATAGCTGGGACTGCAAATGTACGAAAAGACTTACGCAGGAATACATGTAGGCAAATACTCGGATCAATTGTTCGTTTGTCAGCTGGTTCACAACCACGGCAGAGCCAATGAGACGAATTCGTACTTTTGTACGCCTAGCGTGGGGGCCAGTATTTTGATGGCCACTGCTTGCCAGTTTATAAAACGTGGGTGTAAATTAGATGTTGCCTGCCCGAAAGAACTACACAACCACGAGGCTGTTCGATGTCATTTCTTTTCATCAGGTGAAGGTAGCAAGTCTCGAACTCGCTACCATTGGAATAGTAGCAGAAACCTCTACCCCTTTGGCTACCGATCCACCTTGAGATTGCACGTCGCAACGTGTACTCCCAAAGTGACCTTCCAATTAGTCATTCACCGTGATATCAAGCGTTGCTTGTCGTGACCCGGTAGGCAAAGGGGTAAAGGTTTCGACTACCATTCGAATGGTTACAAGTTCGTGGCCTGCTATCTCCACCTGATGTGAGGAAATAACATGAAAACGCGTAGTCATTGTGCAGTGTTTTCGGGCGGACAATACCTAATTTCCATCTGCTTTGGCTGTGGTCCTAGTTATCGCCGTGGCCAAGGTTCACTTCAATGAAACTTGGATTTTATTTGCCGCGAAGTGCGCCCAAACGTGCGCAGGGTCCGGGTTGTGTTTGTCTATCAGATGGTGATGGGCTAGTCGGGAACATTGTATGGCAAATCATTAGCACTTGGGGCAATGGTTGAAGTCGTGTGGTCTCATCCATTTCGGCACATGCTCCGCAATTCGCACCTGCAGCTGACACTGTCATACCTATGTATTCGGCTTTGCAACTACATGCAAATTGGTAAAGGACGTGTGAACGGTTGGACAGAGGTGATGGGGGCTTAATCGACGGACCTTGCGCTCACATTCCTGGTGATCTTCGCGTCATATAACACCAACGTTTTGGGCTATGGCGAACCGCGGTCTATCAAACAACTGGCCCAACCCTACGTATATAAAAGGATCCGTTCGTCATATTGGCTCTGCAGCGGTAGTAGACCAGCTGACAAGTCCAGTCAAAACAGGCTTTATCCACCTAAATAGGTGCGTTAGCAGCGTTTACACTTTCACTGCGGACACACTAAATCAATGGGACCAGTTAAAAATACATAAACACAGATCGAAGAATTAAATAGTCAAAGGTATGGGGATCTTATTCAAACAATCGCATTCGCAAAACATTTCTGCATTCCATACGGTCGACGAGAAAGCGTAACAAATTATGCAAGATTGTTTCGATGTAATTTTCATCTCATCAGGTGGAGACCGCAGGATTTGAACCCACGACCATTGGAATAGCAGCCCACACCACTACCCCTTTGGCTACCGGGTCACGGTGGGCAACCCTATTTGTCACAACGGTAATGACTAATTGGAGGGTCAAGTTTGGACTTACACGTTGTGTGATTGGATTGCGACGCGCAATCTCAGTATAGTGGACTGTGGTTCACATTGAAGTGAACCTTAGTCACGGCGATCACTGGGACCGTATTCAAAGCAGATAGAAATTGGGTGTTGCCCACCAGAAAACACTGCACAACCACGACGCGCAAATGCGCGTCGCAATCCAATCACACAACGTGTAAGTCCAAACTTGACCCTCCAATTAGTCATTACCGTTGTGACAAATAGGGTTGCCCACCGTGACCCGGTAGCCAAAGGGGTAGTGGTGTGGGCTGCTATTCCAATGGTCGTGGGTTCAAATCCTGCTGTCTCCACCTGATGAGATGAAAATTACATCGAAACGCGTCGTGGTTGTGCAGTTTTTTCTGGTGGGCAACAACCAATTTCTATCTGCTTTGATTACGGTCCCAGTGATCGCCGTGACTAAGGCTCACTTCAATGTGAACCACAGTCAACTATACTGAGATTGCGCGTCGCAATCCAATCACACAACGTGTAAGTCCAAACTTGACCCTCCAATTATGCAAGATTGTGTTACGATACGAAGAAATGTGGGAGAATAAAGTCTTTAATTTTGAGCGTGTGTGAGAGGCAGATAGCGTTTGTGGCGGGGGAGAGCGGTCACTTAGGATTTTAGAAGTAAAATTCGTGCAAGAGTCTAAATGCTTCCGAACAATGAAAACAACTATGCAATACCTCGGTAAGCCAATACATCTGGAAATAACTTTAATCGATCGCACGATCAAAACCTAGTCGTTTTGCAGTAATCCAGGGAAGATTTCTGGGAACAATACAACTGGTGGTTTAGTATAGATGCAGATACGAATCTCAAAATTAAGCTACGCGGTAAGGAAAACTTCTTATGTCAAAAAGCATAAAAAGATAACCTTCTGACCTTGTGAAAGGTCTCCAAAACGTGCATGGACCGAGACAGGCTTAGTGAAAATAGTCACTGAGCTATTTGACTGTGGATGAAAAAGGAATGATTTCGTGCTCCAAACTTCATGGGGGAGACGCATATAAAATTCATCGCTACTTATCACGGCGGAGAAATGAAAACGTTACAGCAGTCCATTTCAGAGCATTAAGGTTAAGTGACCTCGTTAATGATGAACCCACAGGTTTGTCTAAATCATATTGAAGCGTAGATGTTATAATATGGACGGATCTGCACCCCAAGACAACATGGTCGGCATATTTTCATCCGTTGAATGTTGATGGCATGTGTAGACTTTCGACATAACAAGAGAATAAACGGGGCGAGAGGATCGCGCCCTGCAAAACACCACCATCAGCGCGGAGGATAGAGGAGCTTTTGCCGTGTACTTGGGTTCGCGTACTTACGACCAGTGGAATAGTCACGCAACAAGTTACAAACATCAGGATGGATTCCGTTCAAATAAAGTAGGTTAAGCAGAACTGATCGATCACGACTCCAAAACGCCTTTGAGTGATCAAGAAAAAGAAGATGTGTGGACCTGCACCTTTTATCTAGCGTAGAGGATATTGAATGCACAGTGTATGAGATACCATCAAGCGTGGAATGCTGGGCCCTAAACGCAAACTGATAGACGTCCTCATCACGAAGGATTGTGGAATTCCGTGGAACTAGTTGCTTTTCGAAAACTTTTAAGAATACGGAATTACAAGTAGTGGGCCCATCATTTTGAGGTTCTTTTATAGGAATTGGGGTTATCCTGCCTGACCTCCAGATGTCGGGAATGACACCAGTCATGAGACACTCGTAAAAGATATTAGTCAGCGGTAATGTAAGGGATTCGGCGCACTACTTCAAAAGCACAGATAATAAACCATCAAGGGCACCAGCATTACTTGAATTTTACTTCTTGAGTTCTCTTTTAACGTCAGATTGGTCTAATAAGGCGGTTTGGTATGAGCTAGTGAAGAAAGGTAATGGAAAAGCGCTCGACGGAGAGGAACTAGACTCAGAATATTTTCTGTGAACATCCACGATTTAAGTACCTCCGACAGTACTGCTACCACCTGTTTGCTTTAACAGATTCCGGTTACGGTTTCCCAATACCTTTTTCAATGTATAAACTGTTTAGTCTTCTAGCTCAGCTTTAATTGCTAAAGTCAGGCATTTGACTCAAACGATCATTTTAAGCTTGTAAACACGTTCCTTTTTCCTTCGAAGTTGCTTCTGACGCCGTTGAAGAAAATCTCTCTGCTCGCAGGTAGGTCGTCTCGATGGGGTAACATGGGTGGAAGCAGAAGTTTACGTAACTCGTGGTATAATCGCATTGAAGCGATAGCTCTTCATCTGTAATAGCTGCAAAATCGGTTGGAGAAATCGTTGCTTGAAGTCATGCTATATTTCCCTCCCAGCAATTTAGTCGTCCGATAGTCCTAAGTTGTCGTTTCGTCTATGCGGCATAGTTAGTTTTACCGTAGATAGTAGGGCAAATCTTTAACAGACAATGCTCCGAGTTGCTTACTGGAGCTCGCTTTTGAATGAAAAACAACCGAAGTTTGTATGTGTAAGCAACACCAAGTTCTGCGTTTTGTCTAATCGGAAGGCTAGTAATTGCCAAATCAAGTGATTTATAAAACGTTGTATCACCTTTATTTAATTCTCCTGTGAGAATGCGGGCAAAGTATTCTAGTTGCGGCAGCAATACTAAAGAAATCTGCTTAACTAAAAGCTTCAGTTGGGATACTGATATATCAGGAGCCATCCAGAAGTTTCCGATAACAACAGATTGAAAGCTGTTGAGAAAGGTTGACTTGCACTTAAGGAAATTACAACTAATAGAACATGTAAACGGAGGAAATAGTTGATTATGTTACACCGAAGTTGGTTAACATATGCGATGACGCCGCCACCACGATTTCTTGGCTTCCCTAGACGATCGGACCTACTCGCACTGTATCCACTAATGCTAATGACTCCATCATTAATATCACGGTCCAACCCGCTTTCTCGTAAATTAGTAATACTCGTCTTTATATATTCATTTCGATGTATAAATTCCATGACCTCAGTGCTTTTTCCTAATAATGAATGCACACTGTTGGAGAAGAGGGTGGTAATTACATTTGCTCCAAAGGGTATCGCCAGAAACCAAATTTCCAACCAACGAGATGTTTCCTGATGTTGCCATAATGTTTTCGCACAGTCTGTTTGAAAGTGTTCTTGGCATTGTGCCTGTAGTCGACGAAAGGCTTTTTACGTGCAGCACCACTGTAACATTCTTGCGGTCCGGCGTTCTGAGCTCCTCTGTGTCCAAGTAGTGCGACAAGCTGCAATGCAAAATAAATACCTCGTAGACGGCTGGACGCTTGAACCGCCTAGTAAGAGACCGATGTAAAGGAAGCAGCTAAGTAGGCATGGAAGAGGGAAGGAAGAGTGCCGGAGAGGAATATGATGGTAATGATAACAGGAGGCAAAACCGATTGACTTCTTACCTGTTAAGGTGTTACCATGAGGCCCGCGGATCGGCTACCTTATCTCCCTCTTAGCAGACGCTGTCCTCAGCACCCATAATGGCCCATACCGGCATCAATTTATGTACCTGCAAAAGGCATTGCGCACGGTATAGTAGGCTCGGGAGATTCAACAACAAGCAGCACGATAGTAGAAAGTTAACTGTTGCCTCAACGGCTACAATCTAGCTAGGGTGGACTGCTGTCGTGAACTGGCAGAGTCGCCAAATTTTGTAATATTCTTTCGGTCCGGAGTTCTGAGCTGTTTCGTGTCCAAGTAGTTCGACAATCTGCAATGCAAAATAAATACCTCGTAGACGGCTGGACGCTTGAGCCGCCTAGTAAGAGACCGATGTAAAGGAAGCAGCTAAGTAGGCATGGAAGAGGGAAGGAAGAGTGCCGGAGAGGAATATGATGGTAATGATAACAGGAGGCAAAACCGATTGACCGGCTACACTACGAAATGATTTAAAAAGTCGTCAGAGTATGATCATATTGGTACCTGGGAAATGGTTCAGTTAAACAGAACTGGTAAAGTAAATTAACAGAAGTTATAGGTCCGCAGTAGATAGTGTAAAATAAGCGATGTTTCAAGTGGCAACAGTAACGGTCAATTTGAAGGCTCCAAAAAATTGACCCGAGTGTTTGTCTATGATTGTCGGTGTATGTTCATTAAGGAATTTGCTGTCCTAGATGTTCTGGATGCTGTGTAGTTATGTTTGTCCCTAATCTGCAGTACGCATTTGATAATATTCAGGGAACTTTGTCCGGATATATATCGTGCTAATATCATGCTAATGGTTTTGTCAGAAACCTCATCGGGGAAATAGATGCCTTAGTTACCTAAAATCGGCTTTATATTTAGCCCCAAGTATTGAACGCGTCTGTAGCATGAATGACAGGCATTTTACGGACAAGAGCTCCCCACATGATTTTATTTACACGATGGCTCTGTTTAATTAAACTGCACACTACATCTTTCCAATAAAGCGTCCTACTGTTTCTTATGTACTTGCTCTGTATTTTTTCAGATTGTCAAACCGAGATGTGTGGGAATCTCTGGTAGCGCAGACGACTTAGAGGGACATTATGTGTACAGGACCTGCATGATCGGGCCGTTGGTTGCGCTCTGTTTTGAGCTGTATCTCTCCAATCCCAGTTTATTTGATTTCGATCTGTGGATGGGTAACTTTGGTTCAAAAATCCGTGAAAAGGATGGTGTTTTCGCTTGGCCGATCTCTGAAAATTATGTATCAACCGATTGCAGATACCATCTACAGGAATGCACTGAATACCCACACTGTTTGTATCGGTTGGGTTTAGCGAACCTGCATCAAAAGAAGAGTCTAACAGACTCATTAAAGGCTCTCCGTGATCGATGGATTGTGCATCGATTCGGGAAACTGGACTACAAGCGTGACAATGGACAAATTGCGTTTGGTTGTCTGCGATTATCTGATTTATGTCGCTTAACAATAAGGCGCATTCTCGTGAGACGAATGGGTAAGCACCGTTAAAATTACCCACGCATTAGTGGACTCAGAAGTTGGTAAATGTTCATTTAGTTTAAGACAACAGCTGCTAGCACACCACTCAATCGTATTTACCTTTTGCACATACTGACTGGACAACGTAACAAAATTGTTTGTCGCATAAATTCGACTGTAATAACTTACTTTTCAATAACGAAATTATCTCCCCACTCAACTTTTCTCTCTTAAATAGCATCAGGACCTTGCATTACTCCAAGCAACCACCTTTACTCCGAAGTAGCCCCATGTATAGATGTGGCTAGGTAACATGTGGAGTGGCCTGTGCAGCACGTAAAAATATTACCGTTCTATTCGCCATCTGGGCATTCGTTGTTAGTGAAGAGGAGTTACCAGCTGATATTGCCCGATGGCACAGTGTTCACAATGTGTGACTGGATCGATGGGTTCAAGATAGCCGATGGTCTGCCAAAAAGGAGACTAACCTCAAGGGTTCTCCAGACAGTTGGTAAAAGGCTTAAAATCCGTGAGTACACCTACCATGAGTACAGCCCAAGTCTTTCAGCGGAAATCCAGTTAACTACTGTAGGCATGTGAAAAATTTGCATAGTTCATTGAAGGCCGGCTACAAGATAGTGGTCGAATTCTGCTTCATTTGTTTATTAGTGTAAAGGTCGCGCTAAGGAAGCCATCAGTGACTGTGTAATGTTACCAAGGGAGAGGTCTACGAATCAGTCAGAGGAATCCTCTATGAGCTGATCCGCCAGAGCCATTTTGTTGCTAAATCCCTGATCATTGTTTTACTATCCGCTGTGAAATTCCTTACTAAAATGTTTAGCGCCCTGCCGAGCCAGTCCATAAACTGGAGCACGGTAACTTTGCTTGTTTCACATGTGATTCACCGCAGATCCAAACTTCCTAGCCGCCATCGAGCAAGTGGCCCTTACCATACCCAGCAGCCTTCAACCAAGACGGTCAGGGATGGCTGACTCCATTGTACACGAAGGTAGTGAAGTCATCTTCACTTAAGAGGTCCGCATAAGGCTTGGCACATTGGAACAAATCGCACAGGTACTTGTCGCTAAGTAGTCTAGTGCCCAATATCCGCCATTCTCTGTGCGCCGAAGATGAAACATGTAAAAATTTTCTTTTACAAGTTTCAAAAGAGCAAGAATATACCACAGTTCCATAGAATCAATTGAATTCAGAAGATATAACGTTGACATTAGACACTGTATGACATCAAAAATGGAAGCGAAGGCTTTCTGTTTGGCCTGCGACGGTCAACACAACATCGCGTATCTCAAAGGCTCTTGGCTTCTGGTGTGTTCGATTAATGGTAACTAATGCGACAAAGAGAGGATGGTATATGCTTTACAACAGGTCATCTTGCTGTGTTCTGCACTTCGAGTGAAAGGCATGACCAGTACAGTTGAACAGTCCGGCGTCATCTGTTACTATGCCTACAACACAAGTAAGATTGTTGCATGAACCTGGTCTAAGATGAGCTGCCTCCGGTTCGCAATAAGAAGTGCGGTCTGAGTTAGTTCCTGTTCGACTAGTGGTCCCTATGGGCACTGTAGAATCGCATGATTTGTTACACAGCTGAGTTGCCTTGAAAAATATATGTGAAGCGATGACATTAGAATACCCCACGGACAGTGCCGTGTCATAAGTCGGCGTCGTGCAGTAATGCGAAGCAATATTCTTTTATAGCTGACGTACTGACGTCTGCGATGTCGGCTATCATGCAATCGTACCCGGAGAAGTCGAATGATCATAGCTTTTGTAGCTCCGTACCGCATTGTCAAGAAACATGCGGAAGCAGAGATGTGTGCTCCGCGGACCGCCTTAAAATTGTCCTTTCAGTTTGTAGATGCTGACGTTGCAAACAAACCCACTCAGCTTGACACGCCAGAGGATATTTGCCTTTGTAAAGACACAGAGGCCCAGGGTGAATTGATCGCCCTGCTTATTCAGAAGTCCTCTGATACTCATATACTTCTCTACGACAGCCTGAACAAGATCACAACGCAGGTAAATCAGTGTCATCTGATCCTGGTAAAACCGTACCTTATATTGCTTTAATGACTTGTGTTGTACCGCCACATGTGGGTAACTCGGCTGACCCCGATGTTTTGTTAAATGTGATCAGTTAAAACTCAGGTGTCGAAGCAAGCGTTTCGCTCTGTGCTGAGGAGAAAACGTATGTCAATAGAATTTGTTAATTCAGTCGAAAGGTAATTTATTTCGTTTAATCTTGTAGCTGATATAGCTAGTAAAATCGCGAACGCTTGGCACTAGTAGAAAAAGGAATTAAATTGTTTAATGATGCTGAATTTTCTTCCAAGTGAAGCCAAGTTTGGTATCTTTGTTGGATAAGTTTAATGCTGGCATAGTCTTATTGAAATCGGGGGAGAGCGGAATGGAGGTAGCAGTAGCCCTATCTCTTGACACTGCGCCAGTGGGAGGTGGATATTCGGATCTGCAGCTCTAGAAAAGACCACTGTGAGTTCAACTAACCAAAGTGGAAGAGTGCAGGCGAACGGCTGTAAGTGCTGTAGTCTACCATGGTGGATGCAGCAGGGTAAAGGCGAACAAGAGCAAGAAGCCAATGGAAGCGCGAAGTAAAGAAAACTTATTAGAGTAGGGGTAGAGTGTAATCGGTAATATTAACCATGCAATGCGCAAGTTGGATATTAGGAACATGCTCCGGATAACCACCTTTGACACCTGTACCATCTAATAGATACCGGCCCATTAACTATTTGGCAAAGCTCTTATGTCTCCTCATTCGATGCTTTCCTTCCAACCCCGATGTTGCACCTGCTAGTTCCAACAATGTGCAATTCGCCCAAGGAGGCGAACACACTCGCCGACATTGACTCATCCTCGGTCCAGCCGCACATCCCTTAGTTGTTCACTTCTCTTCACATCTGCCCCGAGAAGCACTGCTCACATCTCCCTTGAAGTCGCTCTCAGAACCCAACGCATTTTATCCCTCTGTTTGCTGTATAGCGAACCAATTGTGTAAAGTTATGAGACAATAAATATATATTATTCAACAGCTTACCAATATATAAGTGGCGTCACCACAACACAATTAACAACAACAAGAAAGAAAACAGGCAGACAGTGGAAACATTTGGACAGTTTACAAAGTTAATGGGTCGTGCGGGCAGACATCTTTCCGGCTGCCCAGGCCGAGGAAGAGGGTTAACTTAAGCGACCCCACCCCGAGCCTTTGGTCATAAACACCTGACGAGCAAGATAACAATGGAACAATGGTTTATTACGGGTTAAAAAAGCATCGCTTAACAAGTCCCGTGGGATGGAAATTATTGCGAAAATCCATTGCATAATAAAGTGAAAAGCGTTCTGGTGGATTAACCATAGACTTATGTGGAATAGCGGAGACGTTCGCGTATTAAACGTATAAATCCATAATTTCTTTGGTTGGGCGTTTGGCAAGACACCGTTTGATTGCGTTTGGTAGTCCCTGACTAGCAAGTCATAAAATGAAATGTAAGTGAGACAATCCATCGTCAACACATTTTTTAAATATCGCCAGATTGGGAGCATAGACGACATAATTAGGGAGGGCGTTCCAAGGCTGGCACACGCAGAGAGAAAAGAAATTTCTACGGCATTCAAGCCGGCCATAATGAATTGTCAGTTTCAGAGGGGACATCTTAGTTTAGTGTTGTGGTTTAATTCCAGCAGCGGACGGCAAATGTTGTTTGGGTTCTTCAGAATCTGGTAAACCATTATGAGATCCCCCCGCAAAAGCCGATATCGACTGCTGTAGCTTCTTAGAGATTTCAGTCTAAGCTGATAGGGCAGATGAAAGAGGCCCCTGAGGTCCTTGGTTGCCCTTCGTTGAGGTATCTCGAGAGCAACGAGATCCTGTTTCTGCCACGGCTGCCACACATGAATAGCATATTCCACGTGAGGTCGCACGTAGGCGTTAAGCATTTGGGGAAATATTGAGGGTTCAAACCGACCGAAGGCTCTGCGAAGAAGGCCGAAGTGTTGATTTCCGGTTCTCGTCGCCTTCTCTGTTTGTTTTGAACACCGGAGATCTTCCTGTACCAACACACCTAGGTCGCGCTCTTGAAAAACCATCGCCAAGGTGTGGTCTCCAATCTTGTAAGCGCTCACCGGCTGGTGACGCAGATGCATCACTTTGCACTTAGCCATGTTCAACTGAAGTTTATTCCTCTTTGACCATTCATAAATGCAATCTAGGTCATGTTGGAGCAGATCTTGATCTGCCTTGTTACCCATCGCCCGCCATATCATGACGTCATCGGCGAAAAGCAGGAAGTTTGAGGAGATGACTCTTGCCAGGTCGTTGATAAACACCAGGAATAAACACGGTCCCAGCACTGAGTCTTGTGGGACACCACATTCCACTTCAATTGGGTTAGAAAGTGATCCCCTAACACGTACTTAAAGCTTTCGTTGGTAAAGGAAGTTGCCAATCCAACCAAGTAAAGGATCTCTGATTCCGTAACTTTGTAGTCTTTGAAGTAGGATGCGGTGATCAAGGCGGTCGAAAGCTTTGGAGAAATCCAGATAGATGACGTCAACTCCGACCCCATCATCGGCCACTTCCGTCCAACTACCTCGTGCAATAAGTAGTTTGGTTGTGCATGACCGGTGTTGACGGAAGCCATGCTGTTCCGGTACCAAAATGTTGCATTTTTCCAGGTAATCCATTAAAGCCTCAGCGACGCCTGCTTCCATCACCTTCGCGAGCACAGGGGGAAGAGTCACTGGAGGATAGTTTTCAGGATCGGAACGGCTACCGTCTTTAAAAATATGGGTGATAATGCCACACTTCCACATAGTGGGGACTTGTTGTTCATCAAAGCATCTTTGAACGAACTGTGACAGTGGTTCAGCTAGCTTATTAGCTACAGCCTTCAGTGCCTTCGGGCGGATGTTGTCTGCTCCTGGAGAACTGTGCTCACGCAGTGAGAGTAACTTCCTTAGCACATTTGATGGGTT